TAAAATATAATAATAAAACAAACTAATAAATTAGGAGATGGAGGACAGGAAAACAAACAGACTAGAGAAAGGGACCAGAGGTGCCTAGAGAGCCTCAGATCCTGCAATATGTGTTGACATAAAGCTTAATATTTACTAAAGGAACACAAAGAATATTAACTTTTCATGAAGAATTTAGCCTTCAAGAGAAGGCTGGGATAAAGCAAAGGAAAAAAAGCAGTTTGGCAGTCCAGATGCTGATAAGGTGCACTGTACACTCAGACAGACAGATGGCGGTGGAGCCCTGAAATGCAGAGGGCCAAGTACATAAACAAAGTTCCTTTCTAACCCTCTGCTGCAAAAATCCATGTCACATGCTTCCTAACACACGAGGATTACTTGATCTTAGCCTAAAAACAGGGCATTTATTTTTCCTCAGACATATAAAAAGGACTGAGCAGGCACAGTGGCTCATGACTTTAATCCCAGCCTCTGTAAGTAAGGCCAAGGCAGGAGGATCACTTGAGCCCAGTAGTTTGAGACCAGCCTGGGCAACATAGAGAGACCCCATTCTACAAAAAATTTAAAAATTAGCCAGGCATGGTGGCTCATCCCTGTGGTCCCAGCTTCTCAGGAGGCTGAAGTGGGAGGATGACTTGAGCCCTCAGGTTGAGGCAGCAGTGAGGATCACACCATTGCATTCCAGCCTGGCTGACAGAGCCTGACCCTATCTGAAAACAAACAAACCAGCCGGGCTTGTGTAATCCCAGAACTTTGGGAGTTAAGGTGGGTGGATCGCCAGGCCAGGAGTTCCAGACCAGCCTGACCAAGATGGTGAAACCTGTCTCTACTAAAAACTACAAAAATTAGCTGGGCGTTGTGGCATGTACCTGTAATCCCAGCTACTAAGGAGACTGAGGCAGGAGAATCGCTTGAAGCTGGGAGGCAGAGGTTGTGGTGAGCTGAGATGGTGCCATTGCACTCCAGTCTAGGTCACAGAGCGAGACTCTGTCTCAAAAAAAAGCAGGTCAACATGTGGAAAAGATGGGGCAGTACTTTTTTTTTTTTTTTTTTTTGAGAGAGAGTTTTGCTATTGTTGCCCAGGACAGAGGGCAATGGCGCAATCTTGGCTCACCGCAACCTCTGCCTCCCGGGTTCAAGCGATTCTCCTGCCTCAGCCTCCTGAGTAGCTGGGATTATAGGTATGTGCCACCACGCCCAGCCAATTTTGTATTTTTAGTAGAGACAGGGTTTCTCCATGTTGGTCAGGCTGGTCTTGAACTTCTGACCTCAGGGGATCCACCAACCTCGGCCTCCCAAAGTGCTGGGATTACAGGCGTGAGCCACCACACCCAGCTGGGCAGTACTTTTGAACATTTTTTTAAATTATTTAATTTTATTTATTTATTTATTTAGAGACAGAGTGGTGGCATGTGCTTATAGTCTCAGCTACTCAGGAGGCTGAGGCAAGAGAATGGCTTGAACCCAGAAGGCAGAGGCTGCAGTGAGCAGAGATCCAGCCTGGGCAACAGAGCAAGACTCCACCTCAAAAAAAAAAAAAAAAAAAAAGAAAGAGAAAGAGAAGGAAAGACATGCAACTCAGGAAAGCCCCTTTCCCTTTTCTTAGCTCAAACTGTAAGCAAAGAATACAAAACCACATTTGGAATATTGAACAAGTAATGGCTGCTTGTAAGTACTAAAAAAAGAAACCATCAAAATATTCAAATACAGTTCAATTTATATTAAAAATCCATTCAAAGATGACTGAAGGGATCCTTTCGTAGTTCACAAGCATGTTTGGGTGTTCACGTGCACGTGTAATATGTGCCTCTCTTAAACTTTGTTATTGCCGGGCGCGGTGGCTCACGCCTGTAATCCCAGCACTTTGGGAGGCCGAGA